AAATTGAATTTTTGTTAAACAAAAATTTTTCATATGGGACTGTAGCTTTTTTCCCCAAAAAACTTTGTCTTCAAAATAAGGCTGCGTCTTATATTCCAAAAAATATGGTATAAGTAGAGATTATGAAAAATCATAAAGAAAAATATGTAAAAAATATTTAAAACATCAAAAACACAGCAAATGATATAAAACAAGTAATATAAAATGACAGAGAAAACATGTATAACATGTTACTTATAGAATACAGGTAAAGCAATAGTTAGGTATATAAAATACACAAAACTATGAGCAGTAGGAGAAAACATGAAATAGTACAGAAACATGTAAAGCAATGGTTATATACAGAAAAAACCTAAAGTGATAGTTATCAGTGGAAAACATGTAAATCAATAGTTAGCTACAGAAAATATAGTAGGTAGTGGAAAACAGTAACTAGGGGCAGCAAATGAAACAGTACATACATGCCAAAGAATAGAGAAAACACCTGTTACTGAGTAAGAATTTGTGAAAATCAAATAATAGTTAAACTTTCCTGTTTTTTACCTTTCTAAAACCTTCAGCTCTGATCACACAAGTTAACCCTACTACACACTAAACTCTTGTTCCATTGAACATTAACCCTATAATGACACCATTTTTAAAACCCATTGTGCACACATTACCAAGTTATTTAAAATTTAATTAAACCACTTTACTATCAAGTATGTTATAATTCACAGTTCTATGTTATCTCAGTTTTTATTCCTTTATTTCAAAACCTCTAAAAGAATAATTAAATATTTCAGTTCGTTGTCACTTGATAATCTTGCGATTCAAAATACCCGAACTTTAGAGTCGATATACATGAAACAAGCGTGTGTAATGTAGACGTGTTGTTGCAGATGTTCAAAGTACACGTATATAGCTTGTTTACAAGTAACTCAAGTCAAGTTCCATGAACTTGTGTCAAACAAAAATGTTGTAAAAATTCTTTTAGTTCAAGATAAGCCACGCCCACTTCCAAAGTAGAAGCTGTATTGCTAAGCAACAGTTTTAACTTAAATGGCATGCTTAAAACCAATAAAAAGAGCAGATTTCCCATTTTCACCAAATTAACAGTAAATGTAAACATGTATATCAGTTTACAAATGAGATGAAAAAAGCTTAGACCATTGTTGAGGTCAGGGTCCCTAGTACGTGGTTATTTTTTCTCACCTTATACATATTAGTCTGATGGACAGTTAAACTGCATTTAGGTTTTACTTTTACATTTTAGTTAATAAGAATTATTTCTGTTTTAAAATTTGAAAGGTTTAACGATTTTTTAAACTTTTTCTAATGCTTTACCTTGATTATTCAATGAAAAGATAAATAATATGTATATATTTCCATTTCTTAATTTTTGATATTCCATTGCACTTTGTGTTGATGATAATAGCTAGAGTTAGTGATGTTGTAGAGAAAATAGTAAATAAGATAAACATTTACCTTAAAAACCTTTTGATATTAATTTAGGATGTTCTAGAGTTTATGAAAGTGAAATGCGAAAATTGTAAGATTAATAGTATTTTATACTTAACATGAAAATCACCTTGCAGGTGAACTAATCAGAGACTGAGCACAAATAACTACATTAAATAACAAATATTTAGTAGAAAGAGCAGAAATATTATATTTTTCCCAAACTACTTTTATGAAAGTTCTTGTTAAGTTGGTCATTAAATAGGGAAAATTAATAAGCAAGCACAAAATTATTAAAATTAATAAACAAGTTAACACCAAATTATAAATATTTATCAAAAAAGCTTTTTTCAGTAAAAATCAGCTTTATGAAAGAGTGCAAATGCGCACTACTCAAACTAGTTCAAATTAAATTGAATCATTTAACTACACATATAAATAGGTTGATTATTATTCATGTCGACTAAACTTTTTGCATATTTAACCAAGTGCAGTTGTGTCTTCAATTGGAAATTTAGTTGGAGTTTCCAAAAACATGACTGTAACTTGCTTACAAAAAAAGGCTTTGTACAGCACATGTCACAATTACGTCATCAGAATAAAGGAGTTAATAGTTACCACATGTGATTATATTTCTAATTGGCCACGTATTGAATTACCTGCAAAACAGCTGTGATGAGCAGGAACTTTAAAAGTAATGTAAAAGTGTAAGTGTTTGTTGAGATAAAGATCTGGCACTACAGAAGGCTGATTAAAATCACATTTAAGTCCCTGCTGACATCAATTAGACCAAATAAACATGCTTAACCAAAGGTTCACTGGGTGTTTATTTCAGTGTACGGGGTCGAGAGGATACTGCGCATGCATGATGACTGTTGTATTAGAAAGAACAAATTAACAAGTAACTTGTGAAAACTTGAATGGTTAAAAAGTTAACTGATTCAAACAGACTTATTAATAAACAAGCATTGAAAGATAAGGATTATGGTGATTTATGAATTAGTGTACTCAAGAAAAATTGTTCTTTATCTTAAGAAATTTAATAAATGTTTTGTTTGTATCATGTCTCTCTCCCTGTATCTTGATTCTAACTCTCATTGTAAATGTTGGAGGAACTTGCAAATCACAAATAAAAAATTTGTACACAACCAAGAGTGACAATAACCTTATCTCCATCTCATCCACAGGTCATGGAGCAGTCAACAGGAGGATAATTGTTACCTTGACAGGGTAAGAACTATTATCCTAAAGGAACAGTATTCTCCAACCTTAAGTTTGTGAGAAAGAGTAAGAATA